GACTGTATGGAACTGGTGATGTCGGACATTAACCAGACACATGATAGAGACTGTATGGAACTGGTGATGTCGGACATTGCTCAGACACATGATAGAGGCTGTATGGAATTCGTTATGTCGGACATTGCTCAGACACATGATACAGACTGTATGTAACTGGCGATGTCGGACATTGTTCAGACACATGATAGAGACTGTATGGAACTGGTGATGTCGGACATTGCTCAGACACATGATACAGACTGTATGGAACTGGTGATGTCGGACATTGCTCAGACACATGATACAGACTGTATGGAACTGGTGATGTCGGACATTGCTGAGACACAGGATACAGACTGTATGGAATTCGTGATGTCGGACATTGCTCAGACACATGATACAGACTGTATGGAACTGGTGATGTCGGACATTGCTCAGACACATGATACAGACTGTATGGAACTGGTGATGTCGGACATTGCTGAGACACAGGATACAGACTGTATGGAATTCGTGATGTCGGACATTGCTCAGACACATGATACAGACTGTATGGAACTGGTGATGTCGGACATTGCTCAGACACATGATAGAGACTGTATGGAACTGGTGATGTCGGACATTGACCAGACACATGATACAGACTGTATGGAACTGGTGATGTGGGACATTGCTCAGACACATGATACAGACTGTATGGAACTGGTGATGTCGGACATCGCTCAGACACATGATACAGACTGTATGGAACTAGAGATGTCGGACATTAACCAGACACATGATACAGACTGTATGGAACTGGTTATGTCGGACATCGCTCAGACACATGATACAGACTGTATGGAACTAGAGATGTCGTATATTGCTGAGACACATTATACAGACTGTATGGAACTGGTGATTACGGACATTAACCAGACACATGATAGAGACTGTATGGAACTGGTGATGTCGGACATTGCTCAGACACATGATACAGACCGTATGGAACTGGTAATGTCGGACATTGCTGAGACACATGATACAGACTTTATGGAACTGGTGATGTCGGACATCGCTCAGACACATGATGCAGACTGTATAGAACTGGTGATGTCGGACATTGCTCAGACACATGATGCAGACTGTATGGAACTGGTGATGTCGGACATTGCTAAGACACATGATAGAGACTGTATGGAATTGGTGATGTCGGACATTGCTCAGACACATGATACAGAGTGTATGGAACTGGTGATGTCGGACATTGCTGAGACACATGATGCAGACTGTATGGAACTGGTGATGTCGGACATCGCTCAGACACATGATAGAGACTGTATTGAATTGGTGATGTCGGACATTGCTCAGACACATGATGCAGACTGTATGGAACTGGTGATGTCGGACATTGCTCAGACAAATGATACATAATGTATGGAACTGGTGATGTGGGACATTGACCAGACACATGAAGCAGACTGTATGGAACTGGTGATGTCGGACATCGCTCAGACACATGATGCAGACTGTATAGAACTGGTGATGTCGGACATTGCTGAGACACATGATGCAGACTGTATGGAACTGGTGATGTCGGACATTAACCAGACACATGATACAGACTGTATGGAACTGGTGATGTCGGACATCGCTCAGACACATGATAGAGACTGTATGGAATTCGTTATGTCGGACATTGCTCAGACACATGATACAGACTGTATGTAACTGGTGATGTCGGACATTGCTCAGACACATGATACAGACTGTATGGAACTGGTGATGTCGGACATTGCTCAGACACATGATACAGACTGTATGGAATTGGTGATGTCGGACATTGCTCAGACACATGATACAGATTGTATGGAACTGGTGATGCCGGACATTGCAGATACACATGATACAGACTGTATGGAACTGGTGATGTCGGACATTGCAGATACACATGATACAGACTGTATGGAACTGGTGATGTCGGACATCGCTCAGACACATGATACAACTGTATGGAACTAGAAATGTCGGACATTAACCAGACACATGATACAGACTGTATTGAATTGGTGATGTCGGACATTGCTCAGACACATGATCCAGACTGTATGGAACTGGTGATGTCGGACATCGCTCAGACACATGATGCAGACTGTATGGAAATCGTTATGTCGGACATTGCTCAGACACATGATAGAGACTGTATGTAACTGGTGATGTCGGACATTGCTCAGACACATGATAGAGACTGTATGGAACTGGTGATGTCGGACATTGACCAGACACATGATACAGACTGTATGGAACTGGTGATGTCGGACATTGCTCAGACACATTATACAGACTGTATGGAACTAGAAATGTCGGACATTGACCAGACACATGATACAGACTGTATGGAACTGGTGATGTCGGACATTGCTCAGACACATGATACAGACTGTATGGAACTGGTGATGTCGGACATCGCTCAGACACATGATACAGACTGTATGGAACTAGAGATGTCGGACATTAACCAGACACATGATACAGACTGTATGGAACTGGTTATGTCGGACATCGCTCAGACACATGATACAGACTGTATGGAACTAGAGATGTCGGATATTGCTGAGACACATTATACAGACTGTATGGAACTGGTGATTACGGACATTAACCAGACACATGATAGAGACTGTATGGAACTGGTGATGTCGGACATTGCTCAGACACATGATACAGACCGTATGGAACTGGTAATGTCGGATATTGCTGAGACACATGATACAGACTTTATGGAACTGGTGATGTCGGACATCGCTCAGACACATGATGCAGACTGTATAGAACTGGTGATGTCGGACATTGCTGAGACACATGATGCAGACTGTATGGAACTGGTGATGTCGGACATTGCTAAGACACATGATAGAGACTGTATGGAATTGGTGATGTCGGACATTGCTCAGACACATGATACAGAGTGTATGGAACTGGTGATGTCGGACATTGCTGAGACACATGATGCAGACTGTATGGAACTGGTGATGTCGGACATCGCTCAGACACATGATAGAGACTGTATTGAATTGGTGATGTCGGACATTGCTCAGACACATGATGCAGACTGTATGGAACTGGTGATGTCGGACATTGCTCAGACAAATGATACATAATGTATGGAACTGGTGATGTGGGACATTGACCAGACACATGAAGCAGACTGTATGGAACTGGTGATGTCGGACATCGCTCAGACACATGATGCAGACTGTATAGAACTGGTGATGTCGGACATTGCTGAGACACATGATGCAGACTGTATGGAACTGGTGATGTCGGACATTAACCAGACACATGATACAGACTGTATGGAACTGGTGATGTCGGACATCGCTCAGACACATGATAGAGACTGTATGGAATTCGTTATGTCGGACATTGCTCAGACACATGATACAGACTGTATGTAACTGGTGATGTCGGACATTGCTCAGACACATGATACAGACTGTATGGAACTGGTGATGTCGGACATTGCTCAGACACATGATACAGACTGTATGGAATTGGTGATGTCGGACATTGCTCAGACACATGATACAGATTGTATGGAACTGGTGATGCCGGACATTGCTCAGACACATGATACAGACTGTATGGAACTGGTGATGTCGGACATTGCAGATACACATGATACAGACTGTATGGAACTGGTGATGTGGGACATTGACCAGACACATGAAGCAGACTGTATGGAACTGGTGATGTCGGACATCGCTCAGACACATGATACAACTGTATGGAACTAGAAATGTCGGACATTAACCAGACACATGATACAGACTGTATTGAATTGGTGATGTCGGACATTGCTCAGACACATGATCCAGACTGTATGGAACTGGTGATGTCGGACATCGCTCAGACACATGATAGAGACTGTATGGAAATCGTTATGTCGGACATTGCTCAGACACATGATTCAGACTGTATGTAACTGGTGATGTCGGACATTGCTCAGACACATGATAGAGACTGTATGGAACTGGTGATGTCGGACATTGCTCAGACACATGATAGAGACTGTATGGAACTGGTGATGTAGGACAATGCTCAGACACAGGATACAGACTGTATGGAACTGGTGATGTCGGACATCGCTAAGACACATGATACAGACTGTATGGAATTCGTGATGTCGGACATTGCTCAGACACATGATACAGACTGTATGGAACTGGTGATGTGGGACATTGCTCAGACACATTATACAGACTGTATGGAACTAGAAATGTCGGACATTGACCAGACACATGATACAGACTGTATGGAACTGGTGATGTCGGACATTGCTCAGACACATGATACAGACTGTATGGAACTGGTGATGTCGGACATCGCTCAGACACATGATACAGACTGTATGGAACTAGAGATGTCGGACATTAACCAGACACATGATACAGACTGTATGGAACTGGTGATGTCTGACATTGCAGATACACATGATACAGACTGTATGGAACTGGTGATGTCGGACATCGCTCAGACACATGATACAGACTGTATGGAACTAGAGATGTCGGATATTGCTGAGACACATGATCCAGACTTTATGGAACTGGTGATGTCGGACATCGCTCAGACACATGATAGAGACTGTATGGAATTCGTGATGTCGGACATTGCTCAGACACATAATAGAGACTGTATGAAACTGGTAATGTCGGACATTGCCGAGACACATGATACAGACTGTATGGAACTGGTGATGTCGGACATCGTTTAGACACATGATACAGACTATATGGAATCCGTGATGTCGGACATTGCCAAGACACCTGATACAGACTGTATGGAATTCGTGATGTCGGACATCGCTCACGTACATGATACAGACTGTATGGTATTGCTTTGTATGGATACTGGATATTTCATAAAAGCTTTGAGCCAAAGTAAATATAGGTACCCTGGAGTTACGATCCACGTATTTTACTAATCTTCACCACCCCCGATATCTCCACTTAAAGCCATTACAACAAGACACAATAGACCTCAAATTATAGTTTATTCATGATGTTTTGAAAAGCTGATAATCTGATGTACATAGCACAATCTTGTCACTGTGAGCGAAATGATGATATGAGTGTTTTTCTGTTTCTTAAAATATTGATGAAATGAGATTCATACATCTGACTTTCGACTGGCCTTGAAACGAATTGAACCACTGGTAATTATGAGGGTCATAATACCAATTAAACTCACTCTAATTAGTCAAATCGAACGAATATACAATAAAATAACATAAGAAAGACTCTTCAGATTATAAATCACGTATGCATTAAAAATACAAGGCCCAAATCCAGGAAACACTTCGTTTAAAGAATGTGTAGATGAAGTAACTAACGACCTCTAGATAATGTGTCCTTATACAAAACAATCTAGGACATGAATAATGACCTCTCATGATTACTGGGACGATAATCATGAACACAACCTCTTGACCTGAAAAGTTTGGCAGTATATAATTTTCAAAACGATATACATATACATAAAATAGAATTATAAAATATACAGTAATAAGTATCTGAATATCCTAATTACAATTTACTTTTGCAAGGGTGTCAACGCGTTCGTATATATATGCATATACTTTGTCTGAATCACTTCGTGAAGTTCGTTGACCCGTTTCCATTTTCTTTGAAAAAGCATGTCAGAAATATTTTTTCTATGCATTGATCAGAATGTATGACTGTGACTTTGTAGCAATCACCTTTTGCAATACACATACTCAGTATATGTATTTGCATATGAAAATAAGTATTTTAGCCGATGCTATAAGGCTAAATAATCAGGCATAAACCAACAAATGAAGACAAAAACATGTTAATTGAAGCGATTTTCTCCATAATTTTGAAATTATCCTGGAATAATTTCTAGCCATACACTCTTTGGAATGTTGGACATCATGGGGACAGCTTTACGTTTAAGATAGGCGTTGCAGAGAACTGATTTTTGCGTTTGCGTTCTTGGTGTTGTTTTGGCCATGGTTATTTCTCTACTGAAAATAGTATAATATATATCATATCAAACTGATCTTTTTTACTTAATTTTGTTCTGGTGTACGGATTTAATATCACAAGGCATAACGTGAATGTCGGAATTAATTGCAATACCATACTTAAAGCAAAGCCATCTCATGACAGTTTTTGGAAACGTGTATCCAGCTCCAGTGTTTCTTTAATCCACACACATGCCCCTGTGCTTGTTGCAAGTGGGGTATTTTGCACAGCAGTCTTCATTGCGCCTGCACGGGTGCCCGTACCAGCAATCATAGCACAGTTTGGCAGCTGGGTTGCACAAGTTGTATTTTTTGCAGCAGTCAAAGTTGGATCGGCATCGGTTGCGGAAGCAGTAGCTGTCAGGAAGGTACTCCCATGGCATCTTGGGACGGCTGGTAAAAACATATACATATTTAGATGCATTAAAGAATGAAATAACTGTTCAAGTCATTGTTTTGTCATGGTTTTCCTTGTGGAGCCAACTTGAGGTTTAACAGGAGTTTCAAGTTAAGACTACGAAATACCCCATAAAGGGAAGAAAGATTACCAATCAACAAAAATGTTTACTTTGATTTTGTATTATTTCCAAATAACCAAGTCTTTGTGTATTTAGTTTAAGAATACGGAATACGGGAAAAGTTCCATTAAATTGTATGGACCATCCCAACTTCGTTTCGTCATTAACCTCTAAAATAAAATCATGACCCGGTCATGCTATGCAACACGTTTGTTTCATGGTATGTTGGTTTCATGTATGACGTACAACAATAATTGCTGTTTTCGATATGGGGTAGTCACAGATAATTTGGCACTTGTAATACATCTCTGTTACAATTTGATTAAATTAAAAAAAAAAAAGTGCATCACTGGTGATCATAACACCGAATATTTGATTTTAACTGTTTATATCCCCTCCGATGTGTTACACACGGTTGAACATAGGGAGCCATTAATTTTGACACCGTGCAACATGAAAATGAAGATTCCCCTAAGGCTTTCCGCGAATTGAAAACAGAAATGTTAAATAAAAAGGCAAAGTTTTAGATGCCTCGAAGTAGCAATCTTTTTCAATGTGTGATATCTCAAAATAAAAAAAATTATGAATGAAATAGAGCTATTACTATCTCATTCCACAGGAATTTATAGAAAACCGTAAAGCAGGTTAATAACATGTTATTGACTGAACTCTCGCCAACCGAAAACACCATACTGCACTAAACTGTATTAGAATATACACATATCAAAACGTTGTTTTTAGATGAACAGGAAACGTAAAGTTTAGCTTGATAATATTAAAGGAATATTTTCACATTGCAAAGAGTAGTCTGTGAATCATATGTATTGAATCTGCAATCGAACTATTTACTAAACGTGTATACAAAAATGCAGAGGAGTACAATTAAATATAATTATATAAATGTTACATATACCTTATAAAACAACAAATGATGGTGATCACTTGATCATTAACGAGACGAAAAGACAACAAAACAGACCATTACCAATTCTACAATATATATATATATATATATGTGTGTGTGATTATGTTTTACTATATCTTAAACTCGATTGCAGGTTCTGAAATGCAAAGAAAGATAAAAGTATGAAAAATAGTTGCCACTTATTCTGTTTAGTGGCCCCAACAAATACCTTGAACGATGCCTCCATCCATACATAGGGGATCTCTGTACAGGTCTGAAATACGGACATGGTTGTTCAAAGTGGATACAATGCTACAAAAACTACAACAGTTCTGTGCACAAAGTAACTTAAATTAACCATGCATTCTGGAGCATACACAACGTTAACGTTAAGGGGAGTTTGTTAGAAGGGTACGTTAGAGGGTTCTGGGCACAAAGGGTAGTGATACAATTAAAGACGTACTACAAGTGATTTGGTTTGAATCAATTCAAGTTGGCTATTTAGTACGGCAGTTCAAACTAGACCTGTTGATTGTGACTACAATGCCATCTACAATGAACGATCAATATGTCTGGATGCAAATACATTATTTGTCCACAGTATACAGGTATAGTCATGCTAATTTCTAGTGTGGGAGACCGAGTTAAAAGAACATTTAACAAAGAGTAAACAACGGGAAATGCTACTGGTAGGCTCTCTAACAAAGAAACTAACTATGCAGCTATACTATTTACTACATTTTCCAATGATAAACATGCACACAAAAGATAAATTAATTTCGAAAACGATTTACTTAAACACGTATATGCTCTATTCCAAGGAATGCCATCTCTTCTCGCAATCAAAATGATTGTCTGTTAACGCAATTTCAGACATATCAGAATCTTCACATCAAGATCAAGGCATCAATAAGTGTCAGTTTAAGTATTTTTTAAACGTTTCTCTGTTTGAATGACGATGTATTATTTTCAGATAAGTCAGACTCTTTAAATTACGAAAAGAGCACGAAGTTATCATAGCTACGCCTCTAGACAAAACATTATCTTTTCTTGTGCCATCTGTTCTGACATTTACAGAAAATGCACCACGTTCAACCAAAATGATTTATCTATGACGATACCCCTTGACAGTAATGGTTGGTGATATTAACGAAGAAATGTATCTATACATATATAGATATAAAACATCCTTCATTACGACCATAGAGACACCTCGTTATTCGTATATTGATATTTTGACAACTGATTGACATTTAAGAGAATATCGGAAACAATGTGTGTCTGTATCAAAGGACACGCAACAAAATTGTTTTTTTCTAATACGGAACTGATTCAACTGAAGGATGTGTAACGTGTCATTGAGCCGTGATAACAATACAAAGTCATTGCTGATGTGCAGCACGTTATGCACTCCACTGTGACGTGTATACTACAAGCAGGTGACACACCAAGATGCTCTACAAAATCACTTGGCAGCATTGGTATGCTAGTTGGCATTGGCATCATTCCGTGTTTCCGTCTACGCAAAATGTAAATTGTTGAAGATGCAAATACATCAGTACCAAATGACATCCATTTGGAATTATAGCAAATTGGACTTGGGATTATCGTATGGCAGCAAGAATCGCTTTCAAGACGTATGGTGACATTGCGTGTACAGAAATTTGGAACGATGTTTTCCTGCCGTGATAAGGGAGGTAACTACCAACAACCCTTTAATCCTCACCTAGAGTAGCGTCCTCTTCCTCTATTGTTCCATCCATAACGTGGGCGTGAAGGTGACCGGAAGTAGGACAGACGAGCGTACCTGGAAGAAAAAATTAAACACTAATTATCAAAAAGGTTAGGCATTAAGAAACCTTAACAGACATGCTAAACTTTGCCACGTGACCATCATATAATTTTTTTGTTAGGGATAGGATATTTTTCGGTTTCTCTGTGCTGTGAAAGGAGGAGTCTGTGTGCGGTGGTCTAAAGATTTATTACAAATTGTTTAGAAAGTTGTTTTTCTGTTGTTTTTATTTGGGGGGCCGAACATTTTTGTCCTTCCAAAAGTCCCAGCCCCACACACCCCACGCCCAGAATACCCAACGATCGGTCCCTAAAGGATTGTCATATTCTTTCTCAGACAATGAATTTTCCTCGGCTGCAATTCCCTTTTTAATGTTCTTTTGATAAGTATCCTTTTTACAGATTAATTTGGAAACTTATTAGATGTATTGTTTAAAGTTCCCATTGAAGACGGCCATTCTTCACTTCCTCATGAAGATGCGGGCTAGAATTCTTCAGCAGCCCATGCTTGTTGTGGGAGCCGACTAACGGGATCGGGTGGTAAGGATGGCTGACTTAGTTGATTAACATTAAACAAACAAACAAACAAACAACAATCATTGCTCACTTTTTCTCAATATTCTGTGCACTTTGCTGGTCCTCTTTAGCTTCCTCGCGACCAAACAAATTCATATCTGTTGAGAAAACAACATACGTAAGAAAATATGGTTAAGGGAAAAACTAACATTTGATATATTATAACATATATAATTATTCACGAAAATTATATTCATATAAATGTCTGCGTTTCATTCCACTGCGTTTACCTGGATCTTGAGCAAATGAAAAAATCAATCATAGTTAAAATGGAAAAAAATACCTGCAATGATGGGCCGGGTCATACCAGACCTTTGCAAAAGAACCGTGAAGATCCGGGCTAGAATAGATCTACAGCAACCCATGCTTACCGTAAAAGGCGACTATGCTTGTCGTAAGAGGCGACTAATGTGATCGGGTGGTCAGACTCGTTGACTTGGTTGATGCATGTCATCGATCCCAATTGCGTGGAGCGATGCTCATGATATCAATCACTGGATTGTCTGGTCCAGACTCGATTATTTACAGAACGCCGTCATATAGCTGGAATAGTGCTGAATGCGGCGTTAAACCAACAAACAAACCGACCAACCAACCTTTGCAAAAAAAGAAGTGCAACCTATCAACTACATGTATCAGCAACACGAAACCACACACATTACCTATGTTTCGCTTTACCTTCAGGCATGGTGACTGGGGTCCATATGTTACTCCGAAGGGATATACTACTACCAAGTATGATACAGGCACGAGCCATGTGTATAAGAACTCAGTTGTAGAAGTAAATCATAAGATATCTCAACTAAAAGCAGAATCCATTGTACGATTCCGATAATATCATGAGAATGTGTTCATGAATCACTATCAAATCGATATGACACCAGGAGTTCGCGAAAAGGTGAGCGTATCCTGCCCAAACGGCGGTACTATTTACAAACACAAACAAAGGCAAGTCAATTTTTCACACCAAAAACAGGTAAATATATGGTACAAGTCAAAATGGGAAATTGCATCAGACATCATTCTTGTCACTGATGTGTCAACTTAGAAAATGTCCTGAAGAATCTCTAAATCTTCGAAGAAAGAGCATCCCTGATTGTACCTCAAAGTTTGTGACACCAGGACCCACTTGCACAAAGCGATCTTAGCGCTAAGACTATGGCAATCATATGTATAAATAAACAGAAGTGAGAAGGGAAGAACAGTTGGTGACCATGGGCATGCCAACTTGAATAAGTCCAGCATTTCACATAATGTTTTCTCAGTAAATGTCAGATGACATTTGGTTTCATGTCTGATAAATTGTCCTAAACCTCTGAATATACGTAATTCTATCTATGGTCACCACGTTCAGTAACAATTGTCCCATAGATAAAGGAACGAAGTTGTCCTTTAAGTTCTTCGTGTAGGACAGTGATGTACAAAGTTAAAAACTAAAAATGAATTTGCCTTTTTTTCTGAGATGGCAAAAATTCAAGCAAATTCCTTGAGTTTTTGAAAAACCACATGGTCATAAATTGACTTGTCTCAAATACTTTCTGTTAACATAAAGAAAGCCCTTCATTGGTGGTATTTAGGATTATGGTTAAGGTTTGAGACAAGGATTCAGTGGTACTTTGCAGGACCAAGCAAAATCTCACTTTGTACGTATCTTATGGAGATTTGGAATCTAGCTCAAAAGAGGAGGGGACTTGTCTTCACGTTTTAGAGTCAATTCAAAAGTTGATAGTACTGTGCGTGGTTTTGCGTGGATTTCTTCCACAGTAAACATACAGGCCTTATATGAGGCAGTATTTGATATGGTCCATAGTTAAATAATAATTGACGAATGTTGTCATTGTAAACAATAGAGAAGTTACCTGAGGTAATATTACCAACACGTAACAGGTTGGTTGCAGTTTAAAGAGTCTTCGCAGTCACAAGAATTGGAATGTACATCACTAGCTACACATACGCTGGATATGTATCCCTTGTGGCGAACTATAAAATCAGCCATAGGGTCTTATATGTGCAATGGCACCATCGGGACGACTCATTAGACAACATAGTGGCAGGTCGCATCTGTAGAGTATGAACTGTGATGAGACAGTTGTAAGTGGCACCTGTAGGGTCGAACATCTGACATTGTGATAAGAATGATCTGTGAGGTATTGCATGTGAGATATTCCATCTGGATGCCTCTCCAAGACTTCGTGTACAACATAATGTCAACATCGAACCATATAGCAAATACCGAATATTGCAGTGAATGAGTGAGTTAGGTTTCACTCTACTCTTAGCAATCTCATGGCGTGGTAAACAATGGAGTGGCATGATAAATTGGAGCCATTCCGTTTATACGACTCATTAAACAGGCGAACCCTGTTGTCTCGAACTCCTTGGGACCTGGAAACTAGTTCGACTTATGCGGGGTTCGACACATGCGGCTACACCTACCATCTGACCACGCCTAACCTAGGAATCTCAATGATTCCAGTACGTTTTCGTTCTTTTCTGTTTGGTTCTCAAATGAAGCCATGTGCTTTGCTGTAGCATATTTCTAATAGTGAAAACTCAATCAAATACCGTAGCAAGAACATCATATTAACACATTTCGCAACTGTAATCACATTGTCGTGTGTGCTATTGTTGGGCATGGATATTGACTCTCAAATGTTAAAAGTCATCACTGCAATCTTGATGTCACAGCTCAAGTCAGCAAGACACGTTTTTGTTCGGTCCGAAAATGAGAAATATGAAACGAAAAAAAAACCAACAACGTGCATATGCATAGGCAATCTGTCAGAAGTAGTTAATGTTCTAGCACTGCTTTGTTTTGCACAAGAATATCAAATGGTCTACACCTAAGTACTAAAATAATATAAAAGTGAAAATGAGCCCCGTAGATAATCATAAGCAGTGAAATTGCATTCTTCCTTATTATGTATGGTTTAACGGTAATGAGTTATCTGTATAACAATGCTTAACGATAATACATTGATGGGAATCTCCTGCTCAGTGACCGGTTATCATTTTATTAATCAAGACTTGGACCATCCTTACTAGGTTCTCACTAAACCATCCAGAAATCTACAGGATACCAGTTGCTCCCTTGAGATCCCCTGGACAGGCGAATTATATGACAGCAGTCCCATATTTCACATTACCTATGTACTAAAAGCCTTATATTTGACATTACCTATATACAAAAGACTATTTGAAGTGCACACATTTCTGAAGTATCAAATTCCTATACTGAAATCGGTAGAAGCTATGATTATCCTTTACTACACATTGCAAGGCATGTGAAAATTGTGAAGTAATATAATTGTTTGTTTGTTTATTTGTTGTTTAACGCCGCACTCAGCAATATTCCAGCTATATGACGACGATTTGCGACACAATTGAACAACCAAATCGCATACTAAAAGAAAATTGATGTCTTCTTGAATTCTGCAGAAATTCTACATAAGCTACAAACAACTATTCATGATGTTAAGGCTTAAAGGGCAAGTTCACACGGAAATGAACCTATTTTTCTTGTACTTTTTCCACATTAAAAGTATTAACCTAGTAGTGTCATAGACAAAAATATAAAAATATCACAATTAATTAACATATGTTTTGCATTAAAACGATTGATATTTTTAACTTTTACCAAGTGTTCTATTTTCATAACAAAAACACCATGGCTTATGCCCCTTGCAATATGACGTCATTGGTGCCAATTGATAAACATTATGACGTCATCATGCTATGTTAGAGCCGCTTCACGTGGTGTAGGTACAGGTGTGTGATTCTAGCGTCTCAGACGCCAGCCAGCATAGTGTTATGCTGAGTCACCACTGCGCCGGAGTGTGTCGTAGGCCATGTTGTTTTACCGAAAACTGGTACTTGATATCTTTTGCGTTGAGAATAGACAGGGATCCAGTTGAATTGGCACCAATTACGTCATAATCTAAGGGGGATAACTCAGGCCTGTTTAGCTCGAAAAACGAAGGCCTCATAACGGCATATCATTTTCACACTATTGTGAGCTTCCTACTTTCACTGCGAAAAAAATGAGTTTACATTTTCAAACACAGATATTAACTAATTCTAAAATTGCGTTTTGTTTAGAAAAAGAAAGAAAGTGATTTTTGCATGTACACTTCCCCTTTAAGTGTCAGTGTGTCCGTTGAAAGCCACCTTAAACAGTAGTTCCTTTATATCACCATGTGTCAGCCTAATGTGGGAGGAAAGGGCAAAGTGGCGCAGGTGAAAGACGTTTACCATCTTGTTGAAACCCACGAACCTGGGCATGGTCTTGACAGGCCGCGGATACTGGCGCTGGTTAATGGTTGCGACGCCTGCCCCGACTTTGTCACTATATCTGTACTTTAAGCACTACATGTTAAAGATGATTAGATGTTACTGTTTCAAACTGCATGATTCCCAACGCCATTTGTGCATGGAATTACATTCTACTTATTGTGACGCGTTAAGTTAGTCAAGAGTTTTAAGAGTGTTCTTGTCACGCCGAAAGTCCTGTGTGATATAAAAAATGATTAATAATTAATTATTAAAAACAATAATTTTTTAAAGTGAAGAACATATCTCGATAAGAATATAACTAATGAAACGTATTCCATGAAGGTGAACACCTTCGTATTCTCCTGTTCCCCAATGCTAAACCCCTTAGAGATATGGAATTAAAGTTGATTTCATCTTGAGCTTTTGACTCCTTTCCACAATCCAAATTATAGTTTGAGAAATATTAAAATAACTCATTTGATAGGCCCTATCTAATGAATATGTCAATTATTTACTACCCCTGTAATGTAAGGCACGGCAAAATGTAAGTAATCGAGTCTGGGTTTACACAATTAGGATACGATGACATGACATCAAGCACATCATCGACCCTGACCACCTGATCTATTTAGTCGACTCTTACGACAAGCATAGCTGTGGATCCAAATTGTTAACCTCAACCCCCACAGCTTGACATAATATGCCAAACTGAGACCTGTTTACTGGATAAGAAGATCTGGTTATGTAACGGTTTAAATAATCAAATTCTGCACACTGTTTCTAGCATAATATTACCTGATGTAAATTTTATTTCCACTTTCTTAATCACTTGCTTGAAAACTTCACATGAAGAGGAATAAAGAAGACAATATAACATCGCTTATTCTTTGCTCATTGCTATTAGCATTGTCATTACATACCTTATTGAGATAATGACAATGTTCCTTCTAAAGCAAGTGTTTCATATTGAATAAATCCAATAATTAAAATCAGGAATACAATCTAAATCAATCAAAGCAACATTTACGTTTGGGCTCCTAGTTATTTATAATCGTTTTCAAATATGATACGCACAAGCACATTTTGTTGTCCTGTTTGGATGAAAATAATGTTTTACATACAAGAGCGACATTGAAGCATTAATATTTTAATGGTATATATATAGATTTTTCAGAATCAGTTCTGGGCGATAATGCTGAGTTGACATTCTGTGTGGATCGATACTGAACAGTAAGCAAGTCTGTGATTTGTGAGCTTTATTTAACCGTGCCCTAATGCAAAGACATTCTACCATAATGGATAATCCAGCAGCACATTACAAATGGACACGACACAGAATAGACACCCCAGCTATATTTAACAGTATGTAGTGCCTTGTTGTCTACCAGAGGAAAGTCTTTGTCGGATTATTGCTGAACATGCTGCTAAAACGGACGTTGTAAACATGTACCATGTTGAAATGCTGATCAACAGTTTCAAGAACTGGTATATGCCATGTATTTGCCTCAGTCCCCTTTAAATAAAGAGTTCTGTCGATAGACATTGTTATCATAGCACCAGAATTTCAAACAGTCATTGCGTTATTTCCGTTTGAGACAAAATAAGTTCAAAGAAATATATTCAAATCATGTAGTGTAGATTTACAAATTTGCATATTTCCTTGTTTCCTTCATTATATATTGAACTGGTCGGTCCTAATTTGGTGCATTAGGTGCACACACACCAAGAAAAAAGAAACATGTATCCATTTCATCTTTTTCATACCAATATTTATCCTGAAATCCAGCGTTTAGTTAGTTTCATCTCATTGACACATATCCTGAAACCCATGGCTAGTTTGAGGTTACTGACACATATCCTGAAACCCATGGCTAGTTTGAGGTTACTGACTCATATCCTGAAACCCATGGCTCGTTTCATCGTATTCACATACAGTAAACCACGTTTATAACGAACACGCTTATAACGAACTTACGGATATAACGAACTGCTTTTTGGTCGCGTCCATTTGCTGTTTGTATATATATATATATATATATATATCCTAAAACCCAGGATTCTTTTCATCTTATTCACATATATCCTGAAATCCAGAGTTAGTATGGTGTTGTATGGCAGTGTAATTTATTGTTAAACAGTGATTGTAACTGTATTACATTGTTCCTGTTGAGATTCAGAAGAAGTCCATTGCATTGTATTTGGACAATGATTAGTTGTCAGGAATGTAGTACTTGTTGATATAAGCAGTGGTGAGGAAGTTATATTTAGATGCTCGAATTATCTGTAAACGTCCGGGATAGCATGGTGGATGTCAAGTGTTGTCATTGTCATTTCCACTGCTCTCACACTGTATACTGCCACTGAATATTGCACAACCATTCTGCAAATTGTAATTGCTATGCAGTAATTTGTATTGATTTGTAAACCTTGTAAATTTGTAATACAATAATTATTGTTGACTGGACACCATTTGTTGCTTGTTTTTGTTTTGTTTTTACACTGGTACAGATTTCTGGGTTAACATATCGTTTCAATTATCGACACTTAAAAAAGATTGGGTTGGTGGGATGGTGAGTAACAGCCATAAAAGACTGAGGTTTCATCATTGCTGGAACATATATGTGAAGTTCCAGCTTCATTGGTACATTGGTTTCTGAGGGGAATATGTTTACGCTGCTGGGCGGTCGACAGACAAACATTAGCTCACATTATATCAATATCTGTAGCAGCTTATCAAAACCTGACATCATTACGGGTACCTTGAAAACAGCTTCAGTGATTGTTTTACACGCTTACCTTGAGCACCGGCGATGACAAGCACCATTGCGAAGATTGCACATACGGCTAAGGCATAGTAGGGTTTCATTATGATGTGGAGGCCAATACTTATGGCAGGCGATGGACCTGAAATCATACAAAACTAATCATTCAGCTGTTGTCTCATCCACGTTTCTGCTCGATGGGCAATCTGCGCTATGCCTATTCAGAAAGTTAGATGTTTTGAGAAGAAGCAAACAAAGGAAAATTAGCAAGAACCATGAAACTGGGTGACACAGTCTCATCTCACTCTGATGGCTTCTTTCTTTGTGGGCAGCAGTTGTGAGAAATACTAGACTAGTTCAGATTCTTGCAAATATGTCCAGTACCCAGTCCAATGGGTTTTTTTTGGTCAGAAACGACGATATGATGTAACTATTGTCTGTACCAACATTTCTGATAAAGGTTTTCAAATCATTCTTCAGGAACTGTGATGTTTTCTTGATGTTCTGGTTTAAGCTCTTATGTTCGACTTTTAAAAATGTATGACATTTTCTGAGGCTAACCTGTGGTCAATCTCAGCAATTCCATGTTTAACGTTCTTTTGTCAGAGGTATCACTCACACCCATTCATGTTAAATCCACATTTTCATATGTACAATGCAACCTCTTTCACTTTATCAGTCATCGCCCCACAAACACTGTAGTATTATATCTGTCTTCTGTTATATCTTCCAGGATCCTCATGGCTTAGCTATAACGAAGTGTCGGTGCATGTATAATATCCAGGCCAAAGCAGGCATGATTTTATGAAGAAAGATTAAAAAAGAACACATGTTTATCTTAATATGTCTAATCGTATGTGCAAAGTTCCCGTATAAATACAACACGCTCATATACAGTGAAACGTGGTTTATGGCAAATTCGTCTGGAGTAAAACAATTCTGGATTGACGAATTCATCGATATGTTGTAATGTATTTTGATAAAGATGGGCGTCCAACGGTAATCGTCCGGTTGGTCCTGTTTCTCGATTACCTGGGACTGGACAAACCATCTACATGGTACCACCAGCATGTTAATAAAACAAAAGGTTCAGAAAAACAAACAAATGTGTCATTTACCCAACGTCGTGTACCGTTGTTCATGTCGTAAGAGGCGACTAACGGGATCGGGTGGTCAAGTGGTTGATGCATGTCATCGTATCCAATTGCGTAGATCGATGCTCATGATATCAATTTCTGTATTGTCTGGTCCAGATTGATTATGTACAGACCGCCGTCATATAGCTGGAATATTGCTGAGTGCGGCGTTAAACAAGAAACAAACAAACCAACAAAAATCATAATATAAATCATTAAATTGTCTGGTCCAGACTCGATTAGTTACACTCCGTCGTCATATAGCTGGACTGTTCTCCAGTTTGTCGTTTAACAACAAACAAACAAAAACGTTCGGGATGAATAATATCGGACGAAACGCACACACAAGATAACGTGAAATCTGAATACACATGCTGCAATATTCACAGGTCAGCAGTTCCGTTGTAAACAAGACCATTACAAGTAAACCAGGAAGAACCTCATTACCCGAAACCTTCATCGCGAAGCTAAAAAATAAAGATCGATGGGATGGAACAGTAAATCCACTTGATAAAAAGTGCAGAGAGGTGAGCTTTTGAACAGAACTCAGAGAATGTCGTGACTCTAGTCTCAGATGTCCCGATAAGCTGTTCGTAACATCTGTATTCCATATAGACAATGAGGTGCAATGCTGTGTGATTGATGAACACCTATAATGAAATCTGGGGATGACCGATGGTGTCTGAACTGTCAGTTGCATGCCAACCGATAGCCCAATCTTCAGGGGATAATCATCTCCAATCTGTCTTGTCTCTTAAGGCTAGCTTTCTAATGAAAATTGACAATTAGATAGATTGACCATAGTACGTTACTTATGATTTGGTGATGTTCATGTTCGTTGCTGAATAGTAGTTTCGTGATGTTAACCATAGTACGTTACTTATGACTTGGTGATGTCCATGTTTGTCGCTGAATAGTAGTTTCATGATGGACGAGTGTGTTTGAACTTTGTCTTGTATCAAATGCAGAGTAAACAACAAAATCTTGTTAATCAGGACCTATTGCCTGACGCTGACAAGATTACGTTGTGAGTGAGTTTGGTTTTATGCTTAATGTAAAAGGACAGCCCGAAGTGAGGCAGGTCTTAAATGTCTTCAACATGGCACCGATGAGCGGGGGTGTGGTAGTAATAAACCTGGTAACATAATCAGGACAAATCTGAGATTCGAACCCACGATCATATCTTCTTGGCATGCCCAAGGGAGGACACTGCTGCCCCTTCAACGACTGGGCCAACTGGGCCCCCTATCCAAAGGTATGTGAGTGTAATACCCAATTCCTGTTATCTACATGGCTCTATTTCTAGTTTTACTACAGAAATACAGTTCTTAAAATTTAGCTGATTAATGTTTCAAGGTAAGATTACAAGGTAAACTAACAAATGCATCTACAGATTGCGATATCACGTTCAGATCTACACAGTGATTGCACATTGAAATACACCAGGAATACTCTCATAACACTATGCACATTTATCCTTCTAATATGTGCTGGATAATGTATGTATTCCGCAGTGAACACATTGAAGCATTTCAATCTGCTTAGCTTTTTATATCAGTACAAAAACATAATTAAGTCTTAAGTATAACATTATTTTTAAAACATATTGTAATCCAATCATAATAGCTGTAGTGATTTAGTCCATGGATATCTGACATTTCTAAATTGTCTTTCTGTTGTTTTTTCGCCCTACACAGATTTTGAGTATTAGATCTTCATGTGTGTGATGTTCACCTACTGTTTTATGTGAATTCTTATTTGCTTATATATTCTCTTATTTCAGGTTTTGACATTTAGACATATGGCTATGGATACTCTGATAAATATATGCCTGATGCAGAAATATGTTGCATTAGTGAGTGAGTACTTTTGAACAGTATCACGGCGTCTCGGCCTGGTGTGGGAGTAAAGCCCGAAGTAATGCAGGTCTTAGACGTTTTCCACTTTTGTGAAACCAACGAGCATGGATATGGTGCTAAATCGGGGAGAATAGTATTGGTGTATGGAGCTTAGTTTCTCCTTAGAAACCTCAGTTGAATATTTATCGGATTGTGATGCAAAATTGGTTTATGCATTGATAGCACTATTGATACGGTGAATAGTTATATTATCTTTGAACTGCACACATTTATATGCACATACATGTACGTACAAGAGTCACCTGTGAGTCGTTTTGTGAATGATGATGGGGGATCTATAATAAACATGCTAACCGATGACATTAGCTACTGATAATTATAATCACAAACGGGAGTAGTATAGGGTAGCCCTGTCGTCAAAGCCTTCGCTCGTCACGATTCCCGAGAACGAACCCCCAACATGGCTATACTGTACAGATGAGATTTCCAACTGTTGTGAAATGCGGATTTAAACCCTTCAAAGTCTCTTGGTAGAACTAATCGATATGTGTGGTGGTCGTGCCAGCTACTGTACTGACAAACACAAACACATCTAAACGTCCACCTTGAATTCCACGCTTGCTTTTATGAATAATGAACGTTTTATAAATATATACACCACAGAAGAGGCTTCTGTAAACAGGAAGCATGTTGAACCACATTTATTCCGCTGCATTTGTGCCTGCAAAATTAAAGCTTCCACCAAAAACGTTTGATCGATGTATAAAGCAGCACCTTGAAAACATGCATCTCTGGTCTGGTCTTCTATGTCTTCAAGACAACGTGCCATGCCTGGATATGCTCAGGGTTAACTGTCTGCATAAAATGCAGCAGGCAGACAATAATGCCCCCATCATCAAATCAGCGACGGTAATTTAAATTCGATAATGCTTATCTTTCTTTATCTGTAAAGTAGAGTGGCAACGTCCTCTGCAATTGTATTCAGTGTTCTGGATCAGGTTCACTTGACATATTACTGGGGTAACTTGATTGGTGTCAGTGTCTGTGTAGTTATGAAACATTATTAGTATTATTGCTACACATGATGTATATGTGTTTTCATTGACGATAAATATTGCTTAAAGCATATTGTTAATGACGATCGACTGGATAAAACAAGTATATACATACTTAATTCTGCAAATTAAATAAACCGAAAAAGTGTGTATTTATAATTCTTCGACTTTCTGGAATGTCAATCAAAGTCCCCAATCCAATGCCGCATCAAGTACTCATGTATACATTCCCGCAATCCTCCCTTTTAAAGCCATCCCCGAACTAAGCCTGTACACTGTTTGTGCATGTAATAGCTTTTGCTGGTTCACAGTGAGCCCTCCAGATCTCCTCGTCACTACATGTCTGTGCCCCTGGTGCTCGCCAAATTCCTTCACATTTTGCTTTTGTCAGTTTATTCCTTGTTGTCCCGATTGACGGTATCGCGCTCCTACTGTTCGGTCGGAGTTAGACTATGAAGCCAATGTGGCGTTTATGTCACTTTTCGTACATACTCTCACGATATTTTTATTCATTTCCAAATCGCCGCGTCTCCATAAAGAGTTTCCCACTAATTTATCTCAAAATGAGGGAGCAACAGTTTTATTTTACGAGGAGGGAGTTGGGGTGAACATGTTATTTTTTCCAACATAAACAGGTTTTTAATTATATAGTTTTAAATAAACAGAAATAACGAACTGCATTCTTTGGACACTTTAATAAAGGCTGTAGGAAAAGATCACCTTAATTTCAAGTAAAACAAGAGCCTTGATTAGTTTTTGGAAAAATCCTGTTCCCCCTGTGAAAATCAAATGGTTGCTCCCTAGACATGTAAGACCCTTTGCAGAACAGAACAAGGACACAACATTTTGGATATTATCTAGGTCATCTTCAAAAGTCAAATGATCAGACACCAGTCTGGTTTCACATAGTTTATAGATTTTGTCCAATCCTCTTGCTTGTGCGACAAATATCAATCTAGCTTCACATAGTTCATAAATATTGTCCCATCCTCTTCCTTCTAAAACAAGCATCAATAACATTCATAATAAACGTTTCTAACGTGTCTATGCAAGACTAAATTTCATTCATTTGATTATTCAAAAACCCAAGTC